CCCCCTATACACCCCTATACACCCCACCCCTAACCCCCCCATCTCCAAAAGTTTCTCAGCGGATTTGGGCTGTACTCAGCAAGTGCAGTACAGCTTCCAACTCAGATCTGAAAAAAAATTAGTGGATGGTTGTTTTCTGACTGGTCGGCAGACTGCCGACCGGTCGGCCCTACTGGTCGGCTGCAATACGGTCGGCGGTCGGGGTTGGCGGTTGGCAGGGATGCAACCATGGTTGGAGGAGATTTCTGCAGGGGAGGTTGTTGGCAATTCACTTTCTCATTTATTGGTCGGTTGCAGGAATCTTGGCTCAGGAATATTTTACCAGAGTAATTGATGTATGGGGGAGACACTTTATCATTGAATTGAAAAGGGCCTTAGAAACCAAGATTTGAGCAATAACAATGGAATAACAACACCAACAACAACAATAGCAACAATGAAGTCTACAGAATACCTGCGTGCTAAAGGGCAGCCATAAGTTAGACTTTGGCCTAGGCCATTAGACACCGCCTATTCGCTAGGGCAAAACGTTCAGATATACATAGGGGGACCCCGGACCCACATACAGAACTTCGAAGGCATTTTGGGTCTACTCACGAGGCCTGTAGAGATGTGTTCGCACCTATGGTCCGAACTGGGTCAGGTCATCCCACCAAAGAAATGGTAGACTGTCCTGAGTGGTAGACACTGAGGTTCCTGAGGGAGTGGTGGTGTGCGAGGGACAAATGACGAAAAAGAGGGGACGGGGTCTTGTGAGGGGGGAAGGCCCTATAGTTAAAAAACAAAACAAAAACAAAAAAAAGATTGATTGATCATCATTGCTGTCCAGATCCAGTTTACATCTATCTGTAGGTACATGATGGACGGAGAGAGTGTGGTGCTTGGTTCTGTCCCCACCCTGACCTCATTGACGCAGCTGTATTCAGATGTCCACTGTGCTCCCGTCTTCACCCGAATAGAACGCCCGGTCATTGTCGCTGCATCTGGACTGAAAGTTGGGCCAAATGCAGCTATAATGACCGGGCATTCTATTCGGGTGAAGACGGTAGTCGGTTGCTACCCGGGTTCCTTGCTAAAGGGACGAAGAGAGACACAACGGTCAGCATCAAGGTGAATGGAATGTTCTCATAAGGTGATCCAATGTCTATATGACTCCAGTCCGCGCTTTGCTCTTGTTCTCACCAACTTTTTTTCTTTTCTTTTCAATTTGGAGAATTTTGGACCATTTCTCAATTTATGTGTGTCATCCTTGAGCAGGGGCCATGCTTATATTCCCTGTAGTGTTCCAATTTTAATGGGTGTCCCAGAGGACACTTCTCATCAGCATCATTCTTAAACCGCTAGCAGATCCGAGCCTCTTTTGTCTGGCAACCGCCAGCCATTTGGGTCCGGTAGGACTGTTCACCCGATATCTGCAGATTGGCTTGAGTTTGACTCTCAAGTTGCCTGGGAGATGTACTGGAGGTTTAAGGGGTCATTGACAATTGTATCAAGTTCAACCAGCAGCGATAGTCCCTAGCGAAAACTGAGATATTGATTGCTCACGCCACCCTAACCTCAGATGTGCCGTGTCTGATATGACTGCAGACTTTGGTGGCAACAGCAAGCAGCCCTCCATCACGACATACTGATCCCAAGGCACTTGTCAGCAGGAATTGCCAGGTACAAAATTCCCAGGTCTAAGAACTGCCTCATGATTGTTGCACAGTTCTCTTTTCTCCCACACAATGACCCACACAAATTGCTGTCCGAAATTCCCTGCAATTTCTGAGAAAATGTTGCTCTTAACTTCTTGTGATCTGTTTTCTGAGAATTCCGAGTCTGAGGCTGTTCTTGGCTGTGTGTCTGTTGCTGTGCCTCGGATAGGAACCAGGTAGTGATAGAGAGAAAGCCAGGGTCAGAACTGAAGTTAGCACTAGGACGTATTGGGGGTAGTTTATCGCCAAGGGACATGAGAAGAATTGATTGGAGGCGGAGCGTGTTGGAGGAGAGAGTATTATCACTCGGCTATTTTATCTGGGTCTTCTCCCCTCCTCTTCCTTCCATTGTCCTCTTCTTCTTTCCTCATCATTTGTGACCTTCTCCCCATTTCTGTGTATAACCAAGGAGGGATCTTCTTCGATGTATTCCACCCTCCTTGCCATCTCGAGTTATGATGGTGACATTGGTGAGTGCATTGTCTGAGTTCCGAGTCATATGAGTCCAATGGGTAGATTTCAGACTTCTGCTACATTGTATATGTTGTTTCTTTTCAGTTTGTTGACTCTTGGATCTTTGCCATGCTTGTCTACTCATAAGCATGTGAGAGGCTGCTCCTTCTGGGACTGGGGGATTTCAGCTGCTCTATAGCATTCTCGGCTGGGCTTCTTTTCTCCATGCTGGTGATGTCCTAAGTTGATGGACGAAGCAGCCTCTCTGCGGCAATAGGAGCTTCTCAGATCTTTCACAGGACATGTTGAATGTCATTATTTTTCCCTGTGATATCTGTCACTTTGTCGGGCGATTCCTTGCTTTCTGCTTCTTGAAGCATCACTAACTTTTCGCTTTTTTGTGTGGTTTGCCTTATTTGAAGTTACAAGTGGACCTGTCGCAGCTACGCTGCGGCGAAGTTGCAGGGGAAGAAAAACAAAAGCAGTCGTAATCACACATAGTCCAAAGATTGAGAAGTGGGAATAAAAAAAAACAGTCGAAATTTCCGCAAAGCAAACCCCTCCTCTTTCCTCCATCACCGCATGTGTGCGTGCTGTGTCTGTGCGGTCCCATTGCAACCCCTCCTCCTGCTCGCCGTCCCTCCTCCTCCACTGCCGTGGTCGTCGCTGTGCCCATGAGGGTTGCTGCCATCATCATTAGGATCACTCCTTCCTCCTCTGCTTCCATCCTCGTTCCTCCTCCAGCTGTCATCATTTTTGTCCTTCTCCTCCCCCTTCCGACCTCCTCTCTTTTGTGAGTCCTCCTCCTCCCCCTCCTGTGACCTCCTGCTCATTCTTGCACAACCTGCTCCTACCCCTCGCCCCCTCGCAAATCCGTCTTCCGACCTCCTCCTCCCCCTCACGCGACCTCCT